TTCACTCTAGCTTTGTGCTCACTGTTAGATGCTGTTTTTACGTCAGTTTGGATGAAGGGCACTTATTTACGTGGATCAGGAGATTTCAAAATGAGATTCTCAAGTCGTACATCTTTAATAAGCAAGGCAATCATTAAAAATATATCGATGTTAAAAGTAGATTGCAATGAATGTTTAGTTTGTAGAATAGGCGAATACATCATCATTTCGTAGCAAGCGGATTCTACTTTTCAAACCATGTTGTGAGGCTGATCGTGGGAAAGCCACGTTCACACCGTAATAATCTGCTCCCGTTTGGTCGTCTCCCGATGCAAAGATTTTTGACTTTCTTTTGTTTTTTTTGTACCTGTGCCACAAGATCTAAGCGAGCGTTTCGATAAATTTCACGCTTTTTGGTTACATTCAAAACGATAGCATCACATAGTACTGTGGCAATGCCAAGTAGAGCAAGTCCCGATCCAAGATTCATGGAGAATGTAAGTAAATGGAATTTTCCACCCTTCCCGTAGACTGTGATGAAAAATTGTATTCCGTATGCTTTAATGAGGTTTCGCTTGCGAACCTTGTTTTCTATGTAGTGATGGCTGAATCGGAAATTCCACCCCTTTCCCACAGGACTGTCGAAATCGTCTAACCGACGAAATATATACTTCGGAAGGCATTGCTCTTCGCTATAATCCAGATCGCAATTCCACTCAATGCGAATTGATACCATTCCTCCTTTGTTCCATATTTGCTTGTTCTCCGCCTCCGTGTACTCCATTATGTCAGCAAGACGAAAAATAGGGCAATACTTCAATTTTTCGTTGTTAGGATTGTATCGACATGTTGATAGGAAATGTTTGTCCATCCAGCCCAAAATATTCCGTCGTTTCACATGGTATTGCGGAAATTCTATGCTGTTTTTGAGCATAACAGTGAAATTTGGGGCATTGGTTAACGTAAAACCATTTGGAGGACCATCATACTCTGTAGGACACCAACCATATATTTCGCAGACACTTAGGTTAGCCTTGCGCGTTGAAGGAACACATATCCCAGTCTGAACTCCGCTGCCCATCATCACCATACGTCCAGCCTCGCAGTCCTTATCAGATTTGCAGCCGTTGCCGGTGATGTCATGAGACTCCTCACAAGTGCCTAGTGTTTGTCCTGGTGTTGCAACAAGGTTTGTCATCACAAAGAATGCAGAGCGCTGTTGAGGAGGGACGACATAGTCAGCGGCATCCCAAACCATTGCGCCAATATTGCTATTCGTGAGATTGGAGAAAGCAACGCCTTTGAGCTTAGCCGTAACACCACTCACGGCCTCGTCAAAGGCCTGGTAGCCCTTCTCGTAGTACATTACCCAAACCACGACGTAAAGTACGATCCCAAGTTGTATCAGACGGTAGGTAAAACCAATTTTAAGTGAATTAATTTGTACAACCTTTTGTGTCTCATAGTCAAAGAGGTTCGAGGAAAAGGCCTTCCAGAAGGCCTTTGCTCTCACATTCATAAGTATGCGGACTGAATTAAACCGTCTCTACATGCAACCAATTGCTGGTTTTTCATTGGGCGAGGGTTGATCCAATAGTTGCCCAAGCAGCAAAACTTTGAGGTTTCAACAAACTCCTTCAATAGACTGGATTTTGTTCAAGTGCATAGGTGGATGGAGAATTGGTGTGGCGTTTTGTTGAGATCACAAAATTGGAATTGAAAGGC